CAGCTAGGATCTGGAACCAACTTCCAAGGGAAGTGGTGCTGGCTCCTACCCTGAGGGTCTTTAAGAGAAGGCTAGATGAACACCTTGCTGAGGTCGTTTTACCCCAGTGCTCTTTCCTGCCATGGCAGGGGGTCAGACTTGATCTGTCAAGGTCCCTTCCGACCCTACCAACTATGAAACTATGAAATATCACCATCATTATCTTCATCATCATCATCATTTCTTTAATCTCCAGTGTAGTTTGGATTGTCCAGGGTTCAAGGTTATGGGCAGGAATAGCTCTGGTGTTTCCCTCCTCTGGGACAGTGAGACAAATCAGGTAGAAGTGAGGGAGGGGATGGTGGGGGAGAGGGTGTCTCTTTGACCAGGAAGGGGAAGGGAGGGAGGATGTCATCTGCTTTAGGGACTTTAAAAATCCAAATCCAAAAGTGGGGGATGCAGCTGTACCATTTCGCCACCTCTGGATCCACCTCTGTACACATATATTAAGAAACACAGCCATAATAGAGAATGGTCTAAATAGAGAACACATACAGAGATGGGAGAAAAGAAGCATCATCTTATTTTGCAAATGAGAACCTGGGCATAGAGAAATTACTACACTGCATCTAGCTGCTTAGCCAATTGCCATGTAGTAAGGCTCTCAGGCTTTTTCTCAATAAAATGACAATTCTGTTCAGTAAAAGCCTGTGATGGATGATATTACCCCATATTGTCTCCACAGACTGGTTCCACAGACTCTCTTTCTATTCATTATCTGATCCCCTATTTCAATCCCTAGTGGTTGTTTAAATTAAAAATAGCTATCTTACCCATTCATAGCTGCATTTCCAAAGAAAACCTTGGATTGACTTGATACTAAGTTTCAGTGGGAATCATGTAAGCATATAGAATAGATGCTACAAGTGCTTATTTTAGATGTGGACAATAAAACTGTAAAATGCCCACTATTAAGTGGTCAGACCTATGTTTTTGTATGGCTACCAACAGTAAAAACACAGGCTAAATCTACCCATTCTGTAAGACTAAGAAATGATACTTGGTGAGGATAAAATGTCAGACACCTGAATGTCCAAATGGATGAAAAAATGGCAGTCTGTACATACTAATGATACTGCATTAAGGTCCATCTGAATGTGTCCCATTGTGTTTCACAGATTGTATACAGTGCTCACTTCACACTCCTGCACACACACAGGGATGAAGAAGTTCTCTAGCATGATTTCAAGGTCAAGCCATTGCTCCATTATGCTGAGTCCACATGAGCGCAGATGTTTGTTTCCCCAGGGACAAGTAGAAGTGGCACACTTGAGCCACTGCTGCTTGTCCCTGGGGAACACCCATGCCACACGCCCTCTGTTGTGTGGCAGGTTACCCTGGGTGGGGTAGAGGAGACTGGGGCTAGTGCCTGTTGCCGCCACATGTGCCACCCCACTTTTGCTTGGTGTGTGTTTTTTTAACCCCAGGATCTCCCAGGGTCAAACCCTCCTCACCCCCCGCACTGCAAGCCAGCAGCGTGAGGAATGCCTGCAGCGTGGGGAATGGTGCAGATGGGTCTGCAGTGCCACAAATTGCAGATCCACACTCATCTGGATGCGGCCTTAGAGGCTTTTGACATCATGCTCTGACACTGCAGGTTTGGTATTGGACCACCTTAGTCTGGTGCTTTCCCCTCACAATCTATTTAATGTGAATGCATCAGCATTTTAACTGAGGAAGTAGGAAGATCTCTCGGATCACTGCTATCTCAATTTGGATGCAAATCAAATTCCATTTTTTTCTGTTGGAACATTTCCTTCTCTGCTTCTGTTAGTACTCAGTGCCCTCAGTACTCTTGAAAACAGCTCCCTCTGCAGGAACCAAAGTACTAGATAGATACTGTTCTGAGGTAGCTGCAATGCTAGTACTTGTCAATTCCTGTTTGCCTTTGATCATCACTGGGTGCATCTACAAGTGCATTTATGCTGGCTTAAATTTACTGCACAGTAAATTACTGCACAATAAGCGGGAATAGGCTGGCATCTACACGTGTAAGCATTAAAGCATATTAATGCTATGTGTGGACTGACTTGGGACTAAAGTCATTCCCAAGTCGGTTCACACACAGTGTTACTGTGCAGTAAGTAACATGTGTGTTACTGCACAGTAACTAATCGAGTGTAAATTTGATACCTGCATGATACAGCTATCAAATTTCCACAAGTCGGTGTAAGTCGTCATATTTACTGCACAGCATGGGCCTTGATGTGTAGACACGTGCCCATACTGTGCCGTAAGTTCAGTTACTGCGCAGTAATTCGCATGTGTAGTCATGCCTACTGAGTCCTAAGAAACATGGTGCTGCATTGATCTTATTTAGAGAAGCTCTGCAGGGCCTTCTCTAACCTCTGCTACTTTTAGCTGACCCACCCACACTAAAGACAGCCCAACCCAGTCTTTGCTTCCTCCCTTTTGTGGATCCCAGACCGTAAGGATAGGCTTCTCCATAGGCACAAAAGGCAGAGCATGGCATAGTGAGGCAGAGCAGCAAAGAAGGCTATCCTCCCACTTTTGTGAACTAGGGAGACATCCAATCAGGTTCCAGCCCCCAGGGGTTAAAATCTTCCAGGGGAAATTTTTTAGCAAATAAGCATAGCTCTGTTAGAAATACTCCAGCTAGAAAAATGGCCATGCCTGATAAAGTTAAAAAATGTGTGCATTGATACCCTTATTTGTGCTCCCATTTCCTTCCTCAGTAGACTGTCACTTGGTTCATCTGGTTCACATTTAGTTGGCTTGCAAAGAGCTCCTAAGTCTAACGGGACTGTATCCTGTGATTTCCTCCCTGCATTAAATTGACTGTGGCCTGCACTTCGGAGGTTGCAGATTCTTCCTCCCCACGTTGTGAGGTGTCCATAGATATTGCAGGCTGAGGTCACCATCCATTGTGATATCCCTACTCGTGTAATAACACAAATGGGGAGAGCAGCCTTTTGATAGGAAGGCTGCATTCCTGTCTCATCACCCTGCACTTCTGCTTGTAACCCATCTTTGGTACGTCCTTTGCAATATTTGAACAGATGCCTATATTCTTGCGGCAGTTTTGCACCTGTGTGCACAGCTCCTTTTCATAGGCCATGAAGGTCCAGGACTTCTACCCCAGGTAGGACAACTTTTCTTAGTCATATAAACCTTGCCTGTATTCTCTGGTAGCAAAAATAGGCTTTCAAAAGTGAGCAAAACCAGTGGCAATGCGTATGGGATGCACAGGGGTGCATGTGCACCCCGAGAGCGCTGGTGCACCCCCTAACCAGCAGTGTTCCCTGCTTCGGTGACAGGCAGGATGGGCAGACGGGCGCGCCGGTGCCCCCCCCGGGAGTGCTGGCCGGGGCATGGGGGTGCTGGATGAAGCACTGCTGGCACTTCTGGGAGCGCTGCGGCCACTTCCGGGAGCACCGCTCGCCCTGACTGGCTGGCACGATCGGCCGGTCACTGACTGGCCGCTTGGGGGGATATGTGCCCCGCCAACTCAGGTAGCACCAGTCGCCCATGCCCAAAACCTACTGGAGGCTTGAAGTGGAGGGAGTTGGGTGAGCATGCCCTCACAGGCACACTCTGACAGCACAGACCATGTCTCTCATAGGCACAACTGCATAGTTCGGAGAGGGCGATCGTTGTAGGAACAGGAGGCTGGAGAAGTTGCTGCTGCAGGGCCAGGGTTGCCACCCCCCCCTTCAGGAATTTCGTCTCGGGAGTCTGCTGGCAGTCACCCGAGCAATAAATGATAGGGCCTTCATTAAAATAAATATTAAACGTTGAATCCGATTTATACAGTAGTCCAGCGGGTTTTTAAAATGTCAGTCAGGCATTTGCTTTCCTAGCGTAAAGTCTACGCAGAGCAATCCATAACTGATACACGCCGGTGTGAGTGGTCGCGGCACCCCGGTCTTCCAGAAACCTCCGGGGACAGACTACGAGGGGCCACGGAGCCCCCGGCTGCACAGCGGCCGCAGCGGACTCGGGGCCGTGGGTCTCAGCCTCTCTCGTCTGCAGCCCCTCACAACACGCCGCTGCGACGCGAGCTGTCACCGGTAAGACAGACAAACCCGGCGGGAGGCTTCTGCTCGGCCCCGCCACGCGAGACACAATGACGCAACGCGCGGGTGAAGCGCGCGATGCAGGTAATCCACGCACGGGCGTGACGTCACAACCAGGCGAGAAGACCCAGCAGCAAAGGGCCCTGCAGAGCCTCGAGGCACCGACGCGACACCCCGCTCGGATCTGACGTATCCACGGAAGGGAATCAACCAACCAATCAACCCCCAAGGTCCCGCCCCCGCCCTCTGCTGCAGCCCGACTC